ATTGACCTAAACGTGCAACCCCGACCACTCCGTAACAACCTCATGCTGAGACTGCCATTGCGTCGCACGAACTACGTAGCGATTTGCGGACTACAGCGTGTGTTCAACAGAGTCACATCTGTAATCGACTTTCACCTCACACGTGATGCGCTTCGTCGGAGATTCTCATCTGTTTTCGCCGGTAGCAGTGACTGACAGAGAAAATTAGTGTATTTCCATGTATGTTTTTTACATTCTGACCATATGTTGCTTTGTTTTTCTTTCTGTGATTATTTGACATATAATTTTACTATTATTATTATTATGATTAGTATCATTAACATCATTTGGGCTACCGTGGCCTTGCCGGAATGCGTGTAGTTGATGGTTTAGAAGGCCACCAGCCTCGAGAAACTGCTTCAGGCCTGGGTTGACCATCCGCTCGAACTTCGCCTCGTCCCGTGTCGGCTCGTTTGATTTGGGGATGGGAACAACTAAGCTCTCCCTACAATCCTCTGAATACGAGTCTGTCTACCAAAGCTGGTTGAAGAGCTCTAGCATTTTTACTTTACCCTGGTTCTTGAGCAGTCCGGGCCGGCTGATTTCCCGTTGCTTCTACTAAGCTCCTGCCAGGTTAAGTCCTGGTTGATCCTCAGGTTGCTCGTGTCCGGAGAAACCTGTTTACGGACGAAGTCGATGGGTTTGTTGCCGTACTTGGAAATCACCGAGAGGTCACCGAAGTAATCGCCAAGCTTATCTGCAACGATTGCGGATATGCAGTGGGGCCGTGCGGCGCTTGCCACTGAAAGCGTTGACCTTACCTCAGAGCTCCGCCGAAGACTCTGAGGCGTTTATGCTTTCGAGGAAGTCCGTCCAACTGGATCGTTTGGCATTTCGGACCAATGGCCGACACTGGTTGTGCCGTTCTCGATAGCTACAGAGCAGTACAGATAGGTAGATCACTCCGCACACCAATCTTCACCAATGTCGTCCGAACGTTGCTGGTCAATCCGACAGAAACGATTCAGACGCACTACACCTTTCTGCTCAATCTGGAAGAGTAATTGCTGAAGGTGATGATTCCGGGCAAGAAGCTCTCGGAGGTTTTCGACGTCGGGATGGATGATGCCAAAAAGGAGGATCCCAAGCTAAGACGTTCGGTTTTTCCATCATGTTGGAGTTCCGGGAGAAGCTCTCCTAGCGTCGAAAAATACGTGGATGTACCATAGAGGTAACTTTTAGGTCCCGAAGAAACGTGCTCAACTTTTTGGCTCAGCTCTGGTACTATCTTCGGTCCCAAGCTAATCGATTCACACCTCGAAACATAGGAAATTCCACTAACCCCTCATTTTATCTGTCAAGCTTTCATAGCGAATCAAAACAAACATTGTGCAGTACTAGAATGTTGACTAGAATGGGGTACTTTAATCGATTTGCTTGGGACCAATAGGCTAGTCAAGTAGTGAGCCAATTTCAAATCGATAGTTTCGAATTGATTGTCGGTTCCTCCAAGCGAACTCCCAAAATGGGAAACTCTGAGTCAAGGTCGACAAACCTCTTTCAGAACCCCGATGGCGACAGAGTGTCGGAAATTGTTCCTGCGTTTAACTGTCCACCAGTATCTACCGCCCAACAGACGGTTCATCTGCTCAACTGCTACCTTGTTGACTTCCTGGAGAGCTATCATCCAGGAAGAATTGGCTTGACATAACAGCTCCAAATCCGCTAGATGATGCAAGAAACCATTGATGTTCCATTGCAACAGGAACTTTATCGGCTTTGGCAAAGCCGGTAGGGGGTACGAGCTGTACGAACCAGAGGACCCAGTTTCGTCACGGTGATGGCTGCTGCTCTGGTCGTCGGGTAGACTAATATCGAACATGCTCGATGCATCGTAGTGCTGCGAAACGGACGAAAGGTCGATTTCGTATGCCGAATGAGACAGAGCCCCACCAAAGGCAGGTGGAGGTGTTCCACCCATCCTGGGCAGGGATGTCCCAACGGAAGCGAAGGATGTGTTAACCGGTGACGTTCTAGTGACTTCGGTCGTTGTAGTGGCGGTTTCGATTCCCTCGGCATCGGTTTTGTTGGTCGTAGAATTAATGTCAGCCAGTGCTCCACCAATGTCAGGCGAAGGCGCTGCATCCAACCGAGGCGAAGATGCCACAGCGGAAAAGGTCGCCGGGGAGCTCGAGTAGCGAACCGAATGAAACATGGCCCCACCAGGGACAGGTGGAGGCATTCCACCCATCCAAGGCAGGGGCGTCCTAACGGGCGAAAGAATGTTTTGGCAAGCTTGTGAACGGGTGATCTCGTTCTTGATTATTAGGGCAGTGTTGGCTAGTTGTGTTTGGGCGACGCAATTTGGTTTCGATGAGACTATCGAACGTTTGCATCCCGCGGAGTCCTTCGGATGAGTGGGTTTTGCATTCCTTGTCCGTCCGTATACTCGAGGCACAGTATTCTTGGTTCGGGTGCTGAGGGATGTCCAAAGATGCCGGCGGAGTTTTGGCTTCCAGTTCAACGGTACTTCGGCTACTCGAGACGGAAGTCGAACCAGTTTGGCGGTGGTTAGTTGATTGCGATGAAGTTGTTTTTTGGGTGACCATTTGGGATGTCCGGTGTCAGGCACTGTTCAGTAGCCGTTGAAAGGAAGCAACAACTTTCATTCAGACGTCATCAGGTGTCTCCGGGGATAGCCGAAGAGACTTCGGTATCTTGGGAGACTGAGTTATGCGTGGTGGCCGTTTCGGGAGAGTCGTTTTGAGGACTTTTTAGTGTAGGCGTTAGGTAATGGCGTATCGACACCCATGTCTGGGTTCGGGCTGAGGTCGGGAGTGATAGTTACGTCGTTAGCGCTCTCCGATGAGATGGAGACGTCGCTGCTGACGTCGACTATATCGTCCGAGCTCTTGGGGTTTCTGGGTGTAATAGGTGTGGCAACTGTAGTGGAAATTTCGGCCGTAGGTTTCTGTAGATTCGGTGCAGGAGTGGACCGACCGGACGTTTGTATAACTGCCTCAATTTGCTGGAGCTTGGTTTGAATGGTGATCTGAGTTGCCACGAGGGTCTTAATAGATTGATGTAGATTATTGTTCATTTCTGTTACTAGATCATCGCAAAGAAATCCGGCAGTGGTGAGTTCGGGAATGAAGCATCTGACATGCTATTGGTGTTTCCGGATCAGCTCATTGCGAGCGCTGCCTTCAGCTGGGTGATCTCCGTGTCCCTATCACGGACCGCGTTGGCGAGATCTTCGATCTTCCGGCTCATTTCAGCAAGGGTTCCCTCCAAACTGGCCGAGGCGACTCTTGAGAAGGAGTTTGAACTAATGGCTTTGGTCATAAATTCTTCGCGCTTCAGGGTAGAACAGATTCATATCCACCCTGAGTTTCTGGATCTAGTTTTCTCTGCAGTAGCTTGGGCAGGCTCTGACCGAGAACTTGGGGTTCGCGCACTATCTATTCTCGGCGATCGGGTGATCGCCGGAACACTTCCCACAGATCGGCTTGACGGCCTTGTCCCGTAGCTTCGTATGTCCGAAATCCCAACAGTTGAAACACTGCATGGGTGACGGATAGTATGGTTGAGTGCGACAGCGCGCAAGAAGCCGAAATCAACGTAGGTATTCGGGAAAGCACGTAGCCTCACATGTAAGGATAAGGGTCGACGTGTTAACCCTACCGCCGTTTGCTCTGCGTGTGGTTCTGCTGACCTGTTTGACCTAGAGAGGGTTTAGTATAAGAAAGGAGCGGACTGGCTGGTTTTGAGCCAAACGAACTGTTGAAGCCAGAGCCAAACGAGCAGCGTCTATCTTGATTGCATTAGCAGTGTTGCTAGAAATCATCTAGGCATAGGTGGCCAAGACAGTTTGTTTTGAATCCGCTCCTCTCTCATACTAGACCCTCTCTATGTTGACCCCTTGTTCGCTTAGGTTTTGGAGCAGATCGTTTACGGGTCATCGATGACGTCAAGGTGTGTGGTAAACCTTGTTGAATTGAGGGAGGGATGGGGTATCACATCCACCTTCATACCACATATAAACTGTGTCATTTAAATACTGGTGGGCGCTCATAACCTTCAGCGCAGAAGTGGTTTCTTGTGCCTCCTTGAAGGCACTCTTAATTTGTCCTCCTGCGTTAAACTTCTCTGCTCTCGAAAGGCCGGTTCGGTAGCTTTTGGTGAAGATCACCTAGCCCTTGTAGACGCAGGATCTGTACCGTACTAACGTTGCCCTGCGGGTTTTTTGCTTTCCATGATAAGCTAGATAACTACTTAGGCACCTTTCCGTCGTATCGAGCAGAATCATAAAATATAATAATGATTTCGAAATGATCTAGTAAATCATACATTTGGTACGATAGTTTAGTTTATAAGCTACTAAATTGATAAGAACAGATCATATGAATATTGACATCCATTATTCTCAAAATCAAAAAAAGCGCTCCATTTTGTCTGCCCTCATACAGAGTGAATTGCAATTTATTAACAATATCTCACTAATTTGTGACTCTTGATCAAATCCAACGATGCCTATGGAAAGGGAAAAACTTGGCAGTCTTTTTTGATCTGTATCCTTCTACTACAGGAAATGAGATCGGTGGTCACTCACTCTCTTGAACCGATCGGATGAATGACGTTATCGTCAACGATCACTAGGTCAACTATCGAAGCTACGAGGTAAACATAGGCTAGAATTCAAGCCAGTGGATGGTAGATCGGTCGTGGGACGATTCTATTCCATATTGTCATTAATTCAATGTTCTAGTTCAGTATTCTAGTTACATTGTAAATGGAGTTCGTGTGGTTTTTATAACTTGGTGCTTGTATTCATCTGTGGTTGGAAGATGACCCAAATCCAGAAGAATACACTTCTCACCCCACCCCCGAGGTACATAAGTTCACTAGCCGTCGAAGGAATGAACGAAGGTAAAGTGCACCGATATAACACATTAATGAGGGATTTTAAACCCTGCGCCCAATTAGGGACTTATTAAATATTAAATACATCAATACATTACCAGTGGTCATCGTCCCGGAGATGATTTTCGGATCCTTTTTGATATCAGCGAGAGCAGCGATTGGAATACCCCAGTTGGCGACCGGACCCCAGAAGTGGGTGCTCATCAGATAATCTCGGAATTCCTTGCTCTTCAAGCTGTCGATCAGCTTCCTTCCCATTGCGGCTGCCATCTCTGTGCTGGTTTTAATTAGTCACCAATAATCAACTGTCGATAGGACTTCCGAGTGTTGCGCTAAAAAAGATATCGGCGATTCAAAGGAAAGTACTTGAATCAGTGTTATTTACATTGAACTGGTGCGATAAGATATTGGTAGTGTGGCGGCTGCTGCCGTTGATTGCTGCTAATTCGCACCGAGGTGCAAATCAGAAGCATCTGGCTAGACCTTATCAATCTGGTTCGATCATGCGGGCTAGAAATAGACTGATTGATATTTCACTGCTACCGTTATGTAATTTTTGCCAATTGACTCGTCTATTTTGCGCTTTTGATTCGCTTTCCTAGGCATCGAATTCATCTCCCTTCTGTCGGAAAGTCCCTACTCGAACGCGATGATATTTGGCTATTTCTGGAATTGACATCTACCTACCGGGCTGGGGGATCGAATGTACAAATGGGACAGGTAGTAGCTCCCGCGGTTGATTATGGATTATCCGTGGAAAGGTAAAGGGAAGGATTCCGGTCGAACACGTTGCCCTCGCACTTTATCTGACTGCACACAGCTAGAATGTGAACAACACTAATCAAGCTAACAAGAGGAACTTTTTATGTTGCGTTGGTTTAGTGGCCTTGAAGGCAAATTAATACGTAACGAGTTGGTGAACTTGTATCTGCTCGTATACGGGGAATGGTAAATAAAACATTAATATGTTGTCGAGAATCGACACACCGCCGCATCGCACGAGATACATGCGTTTGACAGCGAGAAACGTCAAAGCTTAGCGTGCGACATGTGCGTCAAAGTATATTGAATACCTGATAAGTTGATTTTCTAAAGCAGTATAGTGTTGGTAATTTACCTCGTAATTTACCGAACCGATCCCGCATAAACAATAACCATAAGAAGCGCCTAACCACCAATTCGGGATATCATCCCAACTTTATGTGGGATAGTCGTACCATCTATGATATCGTTAGAGTATGGTACCCGTTTATTAGGGATGTAACTGATCTTCACGGAGATGAAAAACTACCCAAAATTAAGTACTTTTCCCTCAAAAGAGATTTTTACGTCCGGTTGTATTGGTGCGATATGTGAGAGTGTGTTAGTGAATATCCGAGGAAAATACATAACAAATCGATGTCAAACTCATTTTGACAGATCTATTTTCATACATTTTTTAGGTTAGTCAGAGGAAAATAATAAACAACTTTACACGGTGTTGCTCCCGCTAGTGTGCGTGCGTTAAACGTCACTAATCTCTATTCCAGGGTTCAGCCCAAGGGGGGGAGGTGGCTGTCAAATACGAACAATCGTCGCCTACCTCGCATAACTGGCTACAAACGTAAACAAGGCATAAGGAACCTACAGGGTTTATTTACGTTTGGAACCAATTTCATACAAGAATGATCAGTAGGCTGATTCGACAGCACGTCCCACCCCAGGTTCAGCCCAATAACCTAAATTTGAGTAAATCGCATATAGTAGTTTCCATTTAACACCAGCAAAAAAAAATACCTACTCTTGAGTATATTCTATCCAAAATTAAGTTTAATTCACGTAAATTTGAGAATATGCAATTTACTCAAAAGTAACTTATTGGGCTGAACTATATCGTTGGGTCGAATCTCCCGTTCCTTTTTTGACAACAATAACGAGTGCAAGTGAGAGGCTGAAGTCAATATTAAGTAAAAAGAACTCAAATTTGGGGAAGTATTTTTTCTCCGTGTTCATAGAGATTGCTGACGTTTATCGTACGCACCCTACGTCACGTATACGTACACGGTTAGAAAAAAGTACCCAAAATTAAGTTCTTTTCACTCATCTCGGCACTATAGTGCAGGAACCCAAAAGTAGGTAAAGCGGGTCAAAGTAATTTTCATTTACTTGTGTGCAGTTCGTATGGAATTTTCCACTGGCTTTTTAACCAAAAGTAAGTTAGTGGTACCCAACAGTAGGTAAATATGATTATACTCAACGTTGGGTTCCCACACTTTACTACCCCTGTTGGGTGGTCTTGCCCCTCCGTTTTTGACAACATTAGAAGGAGAAAAGGAGACAAACTAGTCAAAAGTAGGTAAAAGTGAACTGGCCGTTGGGTACTTTTTTCTTACCGTGTATACGCAAAATCTAGATAAACATTTCAAAAAGTCCTGTCTGAATTTATCGATTCTCTTCATCGACTTTCTCTTTCGTCAATAACTCAGCTGCAAAACCTTTCCCTGTGGTATTTGATGTTTTGGACGCTAGATAAGAACCTCCTGTATCAAACCATGTGGTAGAATTAGCATGAAATCTGTTTGAATAGCAGTGGTTATGAAAAGAGAAAGTCGATGTTCATCGACAAATGTTTTCATCAAGAAAAAAAAACTTCATAGCGGAAAATTTTCCAGATAAAAACAAATCACTGACACAATCATACTTTAGCAATCTATATCTAACCTTTCGGAGTTTTAAAAAGAAATATTTCGTTGGAGATGCTTAGCGTCACATATCAGACTTAGAGCAACCGTACCAGTCGTTGCCATTTGCGGAACTATTATACTTACGCACAGCGTTTCCATTTTGGCTTAATCACTGCTCTCCACACTAAAGCTCTACAGTAAAAGTATGGACAAGTGTCACCACAAACTGAAAAAAGCTGTTCCAATCGAGCAAAGCGGTGCATTTTGACGGTTCGATTAGAACAACTTTTGACAGACGTCCATACTTTTACTGTAGGGCTTTACTCCACACCGGTCGTTGCTATCAGAGTCATAATTTAAGTTACCGTTTTCCACACCGGCAAAACAAACTTTTGACGTTTATTCAAAATAGCAACCGTCTGATACGTTGCTACCGGGTTGCTAAATTTATGAACTCACTACTTCCCAAGGTGCGGATTGCTATTTTCCCCCCACCTGAATAGCAACCCCCGGTACGCAAGTAGCGTTATTGGCGAGAGCTCTGTAAATTGGAGGTTGGTAAATGTGCCTTATTTACTCATTGGTATGGTTGCTCTTACACAGAAACAAAATCCATTGGCAAAAATACTATATTGTCGTTCAAGTTAGACACCGGAAAACCCACACGTGACATTCGATTTTACCCTCGTTAAACATAACGTCGGACATAGTGCACTGAATAGCGCAGCATTGTGCGAATACAGCGCACTATGTCCGACGTTATGTTTAACGTACAGAATGAGAGTAAATTCAATTGACGCGTGTGGGATTTTCCGGTTTTCAACTGAAACGATAATATTGATGGTTTAAATTAAATACTCCCACCAATAGATTTGTGCAGAAACGAAATTCATTAAATTTTACTAATTTTTCTATCAAAACTACTATACCGTTTGAGTAAGCATAGTAGTTTTGACAGAATGATAGTTAATTTGATTATATTTATAGTCAACTATACTGAAATCATGGTAGATTTAACGGTATACTTAAAATAAGTGTTTTCTGCAAAATAGTATTCCTAACTATTATCTTTGTTTCAGTGTATGGTGGTAAGCTCTGTACACTGAAACAAATCGACATGTACGGTTTATTGGATCCATCTTATAACATAGCAATCCCGACCAACCGTTTGTGAAACTTCTTCAAAGTTTTTTTATACAGAAATAAAGATTTATGTCGGCAATTCTTTACTTTAAATTTTCTATGATTTCGATATGCATATTTAAAATTTTTTATTGATCGATACTTACATTTAAGATTATTTCTTCATCGGTCATATGATATTAATCTATAAAGGTTCCATACTAAATTTCTTTTAATTTCGATATGTCACATGGACTTTAGTATTCTTTACAAATATTCATCAATAAATATTTAAATACTGATATCATCGTAACTTTGAACTTTGACAAAGAACAACAAAGATTCCCGAAAAAAAATAACAACAAAAATACAATAAAAAACAATGTAACAATAAGACGAAAATTATTGTCTTAACAATGATTTACATTGTTACGTCTACAATAAATTTACCTTGATTTATGTTGTACAAAACAGTAAATTTCATGGTAAATGGAAAATTTACAATAAAAAAGGGGGGTTGTTAAGTATCTTAACAATGAAATTTTCGTGATTTCCCCATATATATTTTTTTCAATAACATTATATATTATTGTTATTTTACTGTTGGTTGGCGAATTTATTGATTAAAAAAAATAACAGTGTACTTTAAAGTGTATGTGACAGATCTACTTTATCGACTTTAAAAATAAATCGAAAAAATAAAACATCGCCCCGGGAAGGGAGGGGGTGGGTGGTGGTATGTCTGTTACGGGTGAGTCCTTTTTTACTGGTTATGGATTGAGATTCGATCCGGAACTTGTGAGAATTGGAGGCCAACATCCCTGCACTCGATCTCCCTAGGTCACGTCTCTTTGGTGGTTGAGCGTCGTTGATAAGCTAATGCATTCGACTGGAGAGAATCGCCCATGAAATATGCTTCCACCTGAGAGTTCCTTCCTGACATCTTAGCGGTGGAATTTTTTATTATTATTGTATGATTATTGACTGCACGGAAAAGGTCTGCATTAAGCGGGATTTAGATAAGGCAGGTGAGTTGAATTCAACTCAAACCGATCTGGTCGTAGGCGTTCAACTCTGGGGGGGGGGACGTGCTGTCAAATCAGCCTACTGATCATCTTGTATGAAACTGGTTCCAAACGTAAACAAACGCTGTAGGTTTCTTATGGCTTGTTTACGTTTGGAACCAGTTATGCGAGGTAGGCGACGATTGTTCGTATTTGACAGCCACCTCCCCCCCCCCCCTTGGTTCAACTGACTTGGCAACGAATAGAGCCAAACGAACTGTCAAAGCAAGAGCCATACGAGCAGCGCCTATCTTGATTACATTGGCAGTGTTGCTGACCCTCTCATAGTCTGCATGCTTCAATCAGATTTATTTTTATTGTTCGTGAAGTAACCCACAATGAAAACACACCAATATTTAATGTAACAACAATTTTTATTGTAATAGAGTTGTTCATTATTGTTCGTGATCGAATCATGTTAACAATAAAATAAATGAAAAATACAATAAAAATCATTGTAACAACATTTTATTATGTACATTCATTGTACATCTAGGTAGCAGTTTTGCCGTTTTCGGAAGGGTACAACATTATAACAATCATTTTTATTGTCGACAATAAATATTAATGTTAGAGCATTGTTTCCACTGAAAATTTCACTGTAATTTTTTTTTCGGGAATTGCCATCGATGCACATTTATAATCTCCTTGTTATCGATTTGCATCGCTGGTTAAAGAGAGTTCGAGACACACCAGGTGACATATGGCAATGTTTATATTATTTATCGACATATTCGGCATTTCATCGGAAGAAGCAATCTGCCGGTAAATGAATGAGAAGACCGATGGCCGCGACGCAGCAAATGTTTACCATTGTAGTTCTTCAAGTTTACGTCTATATATTTAATAACCCGTGATAGCATGCTTGGTGGGATTCGCGGCATTCGGAACCCAATGAGTAAAATTAATACCTTTTTGACCTCTTTTACACCTACATGGCTGACTGGTTGATGGTTATGACAAATAAATATTGAATTCATGCATGAAAAGATTTACAGAAATTTCAATACACCACATATTAGAGTGTGTTTGCCTGTCGTTGATAAGCTCATCAACAGCAGCCGTGGACCCGAGGATTAGCAACCAACAACGAAATCAGTACACCCCAGATGGCATGGGATCGAAACTAGAAATTACACACTTAGAAATT